AGGCCATGAAGAAGTTGTAAGAAGGCAGGTGAGAGGGTGGCCATGCAGTGGAAGGAGATGATCAAAGTGGGTGTGAGAGGGAGCATGGCAGAAAGGCTCCGTCTCACCCTGCCTCTCATCAGTATTGCTCAGCAGTACTTACCATACTAAACTTGGGAGCCTGTCATTGGGCCACCAAATGCAGAGTCCTGAGATAACTGATGGAGCTTGAATACCTTCCTGAGCCTTTTAAGCAGAAGCTGCAGCCTCCAGCTGTGGCCAGCATGGTTTGTGATGCCCCCATTCATAGCAGGAGCGTGGAAAGGGAGAGCAGCAGGTTCAGGGACACTCAGCTGCAGTTCCAGCAGGCACCAAAAGTAAGTGAAAATGCAAAATCATCTAAAAGCTAAAAAATGATCTTGGAGTAGAGGTATTGGTGCAAAGCAACATGAGTCACAGCTCTGAGATGCTGACTTTAAGGCTGGGTGGATTGGAGACAGCAGAGAATCCACAGTCCTGCAAAATATTTACTCGTTTCAGATTTCAGTTTTTATGGACAACTGCAAAACATCTCCACTATAATTCCTTGAGCTTGCAATCAAATAGCAAGCTCTTTTTATATTCACAAGTGCAGCTGCTGAACACATTGCTGTAGCTTGGAGTTTGGCCTTGAATTGTTTCATTTGGTTTGATATCATTAGGTATATATTCTGTGTACGTTAACCTGTTCAGTAAAACATCTAAGGTTTGTACCCATAAGAATAATTCCTGCTGCTCCCACTCAGTCAATAATGACAGCCTTGAGACCTGTGAGTGCCAAGGACCTTAGAAAATTCAGATGCTTTTGGTTATGTGCCTATATGGATTTAATAGTCTCAGTTTATTAAAAACGTAGGGTTTTAATCCTAATGAACTAAATTCTGCCCTGAATTACTAAAATGTAAACCCAAGGTGACTTTAAATAAAACAGAGAGAACCTGAGTTTTACCCGCCTATCAGTGGGGGTAGAATTAGGCCCATTATACTGCTCAAATCACATTTTAATAGTAAGAGATAGTTTTATTAGTTGTCTTAATGACAGCGCAAACCCCAAACTACTGTACATTCAAGGAACAGGTTCTTATATTTTAAACAACATATAATTCTTCTTAAAACCTCTTTTATTAAAAAGTTTTAAGAATAATATTAAATACATAAACAGCTATGTTAATTAGATTATATAGTTAATGTACATTGGAACTATGACTTATTGCAGAGTTACTGACCATGAAAGCACATTTTGATCATTCCAGGCTGTAATCCCCACTTAATCCATCCCCAGTCTGTCAATCAGTGGAATACAATCAGGATATTTATGATCACATCAGACCAGGGATCTGGAAGAATTTAGCAACTTTGCAGAGCTGAATCCAGAAAAGGGGGAAAAATGTTTCCACTGGCAAAATGAATCGCTGCCAGGAAAAACATTATTGTTGACTTGGCCCATGTAATTGAATTTTCTACTCAGGAGTAACTTACAAACCAGCAACCAGGAGAAATTATCAATACTGGGAACTCTCATAATAACAAAGCAGAGGAGTTTTACCTGGCACAGCACTTTTTTAAATCATGTTTTTTCTTTTTTGAACGTAGTGCTGTGGTTTTTCCCTCCCCTGGCCATCATGAAATAATTCAACTCCCTAAGGCAGCAGGAAAAAGCATCCCTTTCTCGGGCCCCCCTACCTCCTGATATCCACCACAGTCCCTGTTTCAGTGACTGCAAGCACCTCCCAGCACGACCCATGTCTCTTGTGGACAGGGGAGACCTGAACATTGTTGGGGCACCCAATCCCCTGCACAAGTTAGGGAACACTTCCGGATCCACAGTACCTTTAAACACCTGATTCACATCTCAATATTCTGTAAGGGATGTGCTATTTGATACCAAAATACATGGCAGTAGTGAAGGTGTCCTACAGGTATGGGATATCTCTTGTAACAGAAGAGACATAGGGATGGTCATCTTTTGCAGACTGCAGTGATTGTCTCATGGGGTATTTCAATACCCTCCTGCTTTGAAAACTTTTTCCATGGAAAGAAATGAAGAAACAAACTGTTAGGAAAAAGGATGTATTGGAAAGAAGGGAGGGGACCCTGGAAAACCAGTTGATGAACCAGTACAGTTCCGCTTGGGTGGGGGAAACTAAATGGAGCTTTACAGATGGGGCATACATGCCCTCTCTATATTTCCCATCAAACCCAGGATAATCCTCCAGTATATAGTCATGATCTTACCTCTCAGTGACAGGATGTGGTAAATGACTTCCACTATGGACGTGTTACTCTCTCAAGCAGAGAGAGAAACTGAGGTGCACAGGGTTATCACCCTCCTTGCAGTTGTTCATAGCTATACCTGGGCTGTGATTTTTACGTCTGTTTAGACAACCAAACCAGGTATTTGGTTACCCAAAGAACACATAACAGCTTGATCTGGACATTTCTGCTCTAACAAATGTGAAGCAGTAATTATGAAGACTTTTGCCTGCTAGCTGACGTGCAGCCCCTGCGATCAAGCTTAGCCAGTAAATCACTTTTTCCTCCAAAGCCTGAATGAATGTAAGCACGTTTCACACTTTGTCATTTGGTTATGATTTGGTCCTTTGCCTGCATGGCAAAGGGCTGGATTCCAAAAAACGTTTCTTCTGTGAGCTTCAGTGATTGGAGCTGTGCTGAGCTTGGATAGGCAATCCTGTGATGAGCTTTCCAAGTCCCAGCTGGCTTTTTCACAATCTTCCCCTCTTTGGGCTCAGGCAGCTATTGGAGATTATGCTCAAAGAATGGGCTTGCTGGGCTCTTGATGTTGACTCCTCCGAGGCATGTTTTTCTCAGTTGCTACTTTTCACCCCTGACTTGGAACAGTCTCAATAACATTGTCAATATGTGAATATTTATTCATTTTAGTTAGAAATATGAAATAGAAAACAGCAGAATAATCAATAGTCAGAATAATCGATATTGTTTGACAGGATCCATCTGACAAAAACATTCAATCAACACCCTTTCCTTGCTCTGATAGCAATAAAGTCCTTGGAATGGAGCATTGTCAGAGGATTAGACTTCTGCTTGTAAAAGAAATGCCTTGGCAGTTTGTTAGCAGCATGATGCCATTATCTTGTTGACAGTGCTCTGTGTCATTGATACTGTCTCTGATGCAGCTTCTTTTCTGCCACTATTTGTTTTCATTAAGGTTCCCTCCAAGCTCTCCCTTTTATAAGACATTTTCTTTCATTTTCTTACAGGTATTACAGCATCTCTTGATAAAAAGGTAAAGTAAAATGGTCTCTAAGGGTGTTTTATGTTAAGTGAGCTTTGAAAAGAAGAAGTAACCAACAGCACCGGAGCCTTTGCTCCCTGTAGTACAACATGGCTCCTTGCTTGAGATCTTGCAATATGTCAGTTGTAGTTTGTTTCTATCAGAGTAATGTGGTAGTTGTATATATGCCACTCTCAGGAATGTAAATGCTTCGTTAGTTCTGTCCCTGTCCTGAAAAATCTAATATGGCACAAATAAAGTGCGGTAAATGGCTTCATGGAAAGCAGATGTGAGTGGAAGCCTAGACTCCTACCAAGGCTTTAGGGGACTTCAAAGTCTGAAAGAAAGAGCTGAACAAAATATTCAACTGTGCCAAATTTTCACTGTTCTTGATGAAAGAGCAAATGTGAGGGAAAAAAAAGAGAAAATCTGGCTCCTTGTTTTAATTTTCTACTAGCCTAGGGCAAGGCTTTTAGAAGGAATAAATTACAAGCAAACAGGGAGAGAGACTGAATGGAGCAACTGCTGAACAAAGGGCGTTCTTGGAAGGGTCTGTTTTAGAGAACCTAGAAATTGTCAGCTCAGTTATCAGGAGGCCGCCTCCCTCCCTGCTTGTGAGCCGGCTGCTTTTGAGCAGCGCCGCAGCTCCCCATGAGCTGACTGCATGCAAATGCCATCGCTGCACGGTGGCGGTGAGCGCTCGGGAAGTGTCCGCTGCAGACGTGTTTTGTAGGACAGCCAAAAGGAGAATGCTTTGAAAAGCTGGCAGCAGATGTGAATGCGACATAAATGACTGCGAACTTTAAAGCTGTTTTCCAGAGCAAGCCGTTTGGGCTGGACTTGGGAATGTGTAGAATATAGATGATGGTATTCAAGAGGCTAAAACATGCCAGCCCTACAAACTAAGATAATTTATTCCTGTTGTTCTGGGTATCGTGTACTACATGAGGGTAAAAAAAATGTGTACAGAACAATCAGATTTTTCTTTCTGCCTCAGATACTTTGGGGGAGTAAAGGCTACAACTTAACACAAGCTGGTCAGAAAATGGAGGAGAAATATAAGAAACTGGGCCGTGTCGCTTGTGGCAGTTTTGAGAAATGATGCTCCATCTGTTTAAGATCTCTTCTATCTCTAGACCCTTCCAAACTGCCCCATAGGTTCTATCCCTGATGAAGATTTGGCTGGCACAGCCTCCCTGGTGGGAGCTGTGAAGCCTTGATTTCTCCACCAGCAAGCAATTTATGATGCTCAGCTCTGTGTTTCCCTTGCTCCGTGTGGGAGTAAGATGCTGGAGAGTCTTTACACACCCAAGGAGGTATGGTTTGAGCTATGACAAATACTATTCTCTTCACTTTTCCTGCTTTCTCATACTTCCTTCTCCAGTTCCTAAAAGAGAGATAACTTTTAAATAATATTAATCCACTCTTAGTTGCACAATTGAAAACTTAATTCATGTAGGTGCTTAATGTGACCAAACACAATGTATTGCTGGAAAACAATCATGTTTGCTTGAGTCTGGGCCAGGCTGCGCCATAATAAGCTGTTGGTGACTTGGCCTACGATTTAGGTGTAACTATGGCGATTTTCAGTTTTGATGGTATTTTTTTGTAGTGGCTATGTACCGCACAAAGAGAAGAAAATAGGGCAGCTGAAGTGGATGAGCAGCGATAGAGGAGAAGAAAAACCTGGTTCTTGCCAACTGCTTAGCTGATTTACCACTCATTTTTCTGCAGTAGCCCAAATACCAGCCTGTATTTGTTTGCTGCTGCTGCCGAAGCCTTCGACCTCAGCCTGCCCTTCTCTCCCTCAGTGCTGACAGTAAGTGAAGAAATGTTAAATTCATTCATCTGCCAGAGATCCCTTTGAAGTCCTCCACTAAAAGCTCTATTGTTTTATTAGCTGTTAATGCGGCACGGGGGAATTCGGCTGTGCATAGCGGAGCTGGGGTGCGGGGGGAGCCCTTCCTGGTAATTTGTCACTCTTTAGAAGCATGACACGCTCTGCTCTGCAAACACACTGGCAAGTTGGAGAGCTCGGGGCTGAGGCTGGAGCTGCTCGGGGCTGGGAGCTCCCACCACCATCCGCAGGGATCCCAGGGCTGGAGGGGCTGAGGGATTAGGACAGGCTGGGGTCACACACCTTTGTGCTCTCTGCTGGACGTTATGCAGGCCAAGGTCAATGCTAAATTACAGGCTGTGGGATTTTGCACAGAGCCAGCCATGCTGGCTATAGGCTGGCTGCAGGCTGGAGGGGGTCTGCTTGTCTGAGTGGGCAAATGTGAGGCATGTTCTCAGAGGGGAGGTGACTGCGGATGCAGGGATCAGGGGTACGTTGTCTCTTCACTTCCCTGGGTTAAGGTGGTTTGGTAATGAATGCTTGATTACAGGTAATCTAAATCCTTTTCCTGCCCTTTCTCTGATACACAGTTTGTGGAGCTCCAGAGCACGTGGAGCTGTGAGATTGTGTCTGCCTCCCAGAGACTCTTCCAGCAGCACCAGTGGTGTTAGCACCATGGACCAGGGAGACTGGCTGGCGGCGTTTAGAGGTGATCCAATGCCTGAACCTTCAACACAGCTTCCCAACTAAATGCAACCACATGCTGAGAATGCTGCTAAGCTGCAAGATGAGTCTTTCTCCACATGTACCCTGCAAAGGTACATGGTCAGTGATCCGCAGGTAATTGATAAAGCACCTATTGCTTTTTCCTTTTGGCTTTCAGCACTTTGTATCTCACCTCCCCCACGATGTGGAGGGAGCTGTAGGAACTTGCTGGTGTGTAGTTGTCTGGACACATGTAAACTTTGCAGCTGCAAGCTGGCTCCTGTGCGTGATGTGAAAGCTGGGCACAGTTCACTTATGTGCTAAGGAAGTGAAGTGGATGCTGCCTCAGGCTGTTTATTGCTCAGCCTTGTTGGCAGGTACAAAGGATCTCTGCAGAAGCCATCCATCACTGGAGCTGCTGCTCCCTGCAAGCACAATGCAGTTAATAGCAGGAGCTGTGTCCTGGTAAACACAAACAGGAAGGCAAGCACAGCCGCCTGGTCCCGGCTGCCTGCAGGCAGCCTTTGTATTTGCTTTGCTCTGGTCTGATTGCTTCTCACTACTTCAGCTTGATCAGTCTATCACCAGAGCCTTTCTTTCCAGCCGTTCTTCCCAGTGCCTTACGTGGCACTAAGGCTAAGTCAATAGAAATGCAAACCTTATTTCCTCAGTCTGATAAATCTTGAGAACTCTGCTGGGGAGCTTGGTGGTTTGCAGAACTGCTTAGCTACACTCCAAAGTGCACCTGATGTGAGGAAGCACATTCATTAATATGGTCTTTCCCCGTGATGTAAAACTGCTGCTGTTTGTTCCTGCAAAGAGGGGCAAATGTCTCCAACATTTTCCCATGACAGAAAGGTGAGGGGTCACGAGGAGCTTGTTCACTAACATCCATAGCATGGGAGTGTGCAATCGATTTGATCTGCTGTGCCCCCACCTCTGGGCTTGGATGCAGGGACGCAGGGTGGTACTGGAGCAGAGGGGACAGAGCACACCAGTGGTGAGATCAGCATTCAGTTTTGTAGGGTCCTTTAAAATCCAGTGCCTTCCAAAAGCACTACGCAGTGGTAGAAATTAGCGCCCACTTTAGGGTCCTGATTCAGCAAAACACCTACGAGACTTCTGCATTTGTTCTGCATAAAATATGTCACTTGCTGCACTGAGCCATTGGGTTTGAAATGTATATCTATGTTGAAGCCTTTTTAAGGTTGTTACCAATCATAGTTTTACAGAGAGGAAACATTGCAAGGCAGTTGTTATAGATCTAAACTCAATGTACAGCTCACACTAAGCTGCTCTTAAGTAGTTTAAAGAGTAGTGGCCTTCATAGGCTTTCTCCTAATGTTGCTAGTGAGCTTGACATCCTTATCATAATCCTTAATGATACAAGTATTTGTAAACAGCAAAAAGACCCCAATAATGCAATAATTATTCAAATGTTTTTGATGCTAGAGAGTTTTTTCTCTATAAAATACAAAAATAGTGGTATCAACGAACCAACATGTTATGTATGTAATTGCATTACCACCTTTTGCAGTGGTCACAGCCACTGCATAAGCAGCCTGGGTTGCTGGTGCAGGCAGGGAATGCAATTGCCATGCCCCCCTCCACAAATCCCAGCCCTTCTCGGAGCAGGTCACTACACCCTGGTGGCGAGGGAGACTCATTGCTACGGCTCATGTAGTAATTAATGTCTTCTGAGCTGCAGAGGGGCACCGTGCACTGCTCCAGTGCACTCCTGGGTTTGTAAAGCCCCTCTGGGATATGCTGTTTTACACCAGGAGGAAAGCATACCCTCCCTACTGATCAGATTCACTGCATTTCCAAACTCCAGTTCTTGGCTGCATGGTTAGATGGGAATTAGGGGTGCCGCATGCTCACATACTCCCCAGTTGTTTGATTAGGGAAGCTTGAAAGTGACAGCTTTTCCCTTTGAGGCAAGAAGCTGTCATTCTGGTACAAATCCCTACAGGCAGCACGCATGTACCTTTCCTATGGCTGCACTCAGCCTCAGGGCTTTTATCAGAGCAAACCTGGGTGCTGTTTCCCTGTCAGCTGGTCATTCGCTCCTGGCTGCCCAAGCTCAGCCACTGCACAGCCCTTGAGCCACCAACTGGAGCCATCTCTGCAGCAGCACAATGGATTGCTTCCTCATCACTTGCTTTCCAAAGTTTGAGAGACTTGAACCTTATCCCAAATTTCTCTGCTATAATGCTTGGAAAACGCATTTAAAGGTGGCATGTACTCAAAATACCGCTCTACAGAAATGGTTCTTTCATCACATTCCCATTAACCTTAGAATGCTTTTAAGTACTCTCTTCTGTGGGAATGAATCTGGGGAATATTTCCAGATACTCAGAATTCTTTATTCAACTCATGGGAACCGGTCAAACCCAAGATATCAGAGTCCAAACCTGACTGGTCTTTTGTCTTCTATAAATGCCCTCCACCCCATTGTTTCTGCATTCCTATTTCTCACTAAAAGGCAGTGATTTTGTGAAGCTCACCAGCACTTCTGGTGCTGGCACGGTGCACAGCCCCTCACTGCTGCATTGGAAAGGTAGGTTTGTGTTAACCATTTTACTTCAAAACATGAGAAAGACATTTTAACAAAGTGGTTTGATACTTCATGCATCTGACTTCCAGTGGAAAAATGGTGTCGTGTCCCGGGTGACTTGTGCCTCCAGTGATGGGTAAATGCCACTGCAGGGCCCTTTCTCTTAGAAAACAATCAGTGTGTGTGCTGGGGATTTCTCTCTTATTTTTTCCCCTTCTGTCTCTGGTCTTACCGCTGCTGTTCATGGGTTGGGAAGCAAATTGAAGAAAAGGCCAAGGGAAAGTTGGGTATTTCTTGTGTGTAGCTTAAGCTGTAATTGCATCAGAAGGGTCCGTGCGTGGCTTGTCCACAGCCCTTAACGTTGGTCGGTGTTTTAAAGCAGAAGGCAAAGACTGGAAGTGCTTCAGCTTCCCTGCTTTCTTTTAGAGAATGTGCATCAAATGGAAGCATGACGTTAAAGTGGTCTGGAGCTGTAGGGGATGTGAAGAGGCAGATTTTAGAGGGGTGGTAAAAGCACGATGCCCGAGGCTGGCGTTTGCATGTGCTTCTCCTGAGTTAGTTTTAGCCTGTAGAGATGGAGGTGAGGAGCAAGGGAGTTCCCCTTATTGAACTGCCGGCATCCAGCGAGGCTGCCTGACACAGGGTCCATGCTCCCTCTGTTGTCACACAGGAGAGAGCAGCTCCTTCCATGGGTGCTTCACAGATCTGCTGAGAGCCAGCTTGCTCAGTAGGGGATGAATGGCCCAGACCTGTGAGCAGCCCCTCAGTGACAAATCCCAGGGAGTTGCCACGGGTTTATACCCACAAAATTCATCTGTTTCAGTGGGAGGTTTGACAGGTTTGAGCCAAGCAGAGACTTTTCCATCCTTAAGCCGTGAAGTTTCGCAGTTGCAGCCAGCCATATTTCCAGATGGGTAAAATTCCAGAGAAATGATGATGGATTTGACACATCTCAAATGATGACAGCAGAGGTGCTGACTTCCCTTTAAATTCCTTCCTTTAACAGAAAAGGTCTCAGAACCTGGCCCACTTCACCGACATGTGCAGTGCTTGTTTCTCTCTGGCTGCATGTCTGGTTGGCTTTGCCTTCCTCCCCCGACTCATAACTCCCAGCTCCTTTCCTGCAGGAAAGATTAGGAAGGATAGGAAGTCGTCTGTGCAGAAAGCATCCCTGGCCAAAGTAAATAAAGGTCACAAGATTAGGCTTCGTCAGAACTTTAAGCCTGGCCCAAGCTAAACAAATGGGCTGTCATGCTTTGGTAAAAGCTCCAGTATGACTGAACTGGCATGACTGCAGTTATGGTAAAGCAGTTAATAGGTTTTGCAATATGGAAGCCTTAAGTTTTGTTTTTAATGCTGCATTCCTGACAGTCAAGACTTGCACTGAACTTCAACTGCTATTAATTTTGTGTGTTGGCCTCCCTTGCTACTATGCAAACACACTTCCCAAAGCACAGCAATGGAAGCAAAACAGCACCATGAGGCTGGGCTGCCCAGGAGAGTCCTTACAGCACAGAAGAACAACATGGGATGGTAAGAAATACCCTGTTGCAGTGTGAACCTGGGTTTCTTGGCTGTTGACACACCGAGTCTTTGAATGAATTACAGATCTGCTTTGAAAACACCTCTGGCTGTCCAAATGTATACATAAGAAAAACCACCAACAGCGCCATGGTGATGGACACCACAGCCCAGGCAGAGTCCTGAGCCCATTAGGGAAGTTGTTCACAAAAGAGGTTATCTGAACCAGTAAATGGGTTCAATCTCCCAAGTTTCCCTGTGAAGAGTAAGAGGTTAATTCACACTGAGGGCACTGGGAACATTTTCTCTTGTAATGACCAGAGCCCATGGACATGGGACTGGCACTGCCCTGTTACACCTCTCTGGAGTTGTTAATCCCCCAAGCACTTTGTCCCCACTGTGCAGGTATGGGAACCAGCAGTGATGGGACTGCTGCTGTGCTGGGAGAAGTGTTGATGCTGTAAACCACACAAAGCTGCAGAGGTCTGCAGCGCTCTGATGTGTTCAATAATTACTCATTATAACCCCAAAAAAATCCCAAACCCCAAACCAACGAGCATTTAAAGTCTTTATGGAACAAAAGCCAGGCTTTTAATATTGTTTTAATGTATTTGACAAAGCTTTAGCTTAGAGCTAAGGCCAGCTCTTGTAAGTGTGCAAGGGTTGAGACAATTTAAAAACCAAAATATTTCTCCCAGTAGAGACCTTGCAGCTTATCAGGTAACTGCCGGCTGGATTTTGGCCATTTTTAACTGGGCATTAAAAGTCTTTTTTGACACTTCCTTTATTCCCCTACAATAGACCCTAACAGCCCCTCTGAGGCCTTCTACAGTCTGATGTGTAAAGTGTAATGGGGATTGGTTTAAAGAGTGGAATTTGACCTGAGAGAGATGTGAGTATTCAGGGAGTACTTAGTCCTCAGCAGCACTTGGGGGCTTTTTAGTTTGTGGGGCACTTTATTACTCATTAGTGCTTGGGGATGCTGCACTCTACTCAGCATGCTGTCCAGTGCCTTTCTCCATTTAAGCGTTGCTGTGTTGTGGCAGAGCATATGGACCCTTCCTCCTCTTCCTCCTCCTGCTCATGGAAGGAGCAGCTGGGCCTGGGGTTGCTTGGGGAAATCAGGGTGTCCCCAAGGGTGTTTGTCAGTAGGAGAGAACCGGGGAGTCATATTGGCCACAAACATGACACCCATGGGTGCGGGGGAGCCGATGATGCTCACTCAACCATAAATACTTGGAGACCAAAGCATGCCCACAGGAAAGCTGTTCATGCTGGTGGGACTCTTGCAGGATTCCAGTTCAAAGCTACTTATCAGTGGAGGCCAGAGAAGTCCTTGTTTCAGCCTTGTCCTTCCCCTCCTCCTCATCCTTGTGGGACAACCAGCAGCAAAGAGCAAGCTGGTCACCCAAACCAATCCCTCAGCTCCTTGCTGCTGGCTGTGTCCCTGAGACAGCCCAGCCCTACAGCAGCCACCACTGGAAGCAGAGGGGGATGCCGTGCTGCTGGCAGGCTCTCCATTATTTTCCATCTCTGTGAGACAGGCCTGGGGGAAGCTGCCAAAAGTCTTGCCCTGCTCTGTGCTGCCCCTTTCTTGCTTTACAGTGCTGGTGAGTTGTGGAGATGCGGTTGTTCATCTTGCATGGTGCAGCCATCTTCCTAGGCAGGGCTGCACGGTGCAGGGGATGAGATGGGCTCAGGGGCAGTGGTAGTCTTTCTCACTTTTACTTTTCCCCTTAGCTTAAATTATTCCCAGACGTGTGAACTCAGCAAACAAGGATCAAGTTTTCTCCACAAGGCAAGGTTTACTCCAGGCCTGGAATAGTGCCTGAGCTTCCCAGCGGTCAGGAAAAAGCTTGCAGGGAGCAGATGAGCGATTCCTTTTGTATTTTCCACCCATCAGGAAAAGCTGCATCTGAAAAAATAATAGCTGAACTGGAAAATAAAATTAGACAACTCTGAACAAATATGGAAACCATCCCTGACCTGGTATTGGAAAAGAGTCTCAAATGCTAGAAAGGAGAGTAGCAGAAAAGAGGGATTGGATAAGTTTTGGCCTCTGTCAGGAATATGGAAGGAATTATTTCATTCTTTTTCCCCATCTATTTGTTCTCTATATGGCATTCTGTGTGGTTAACCCTCTCTCTTTGTCATAAATAGATGTGGCAGAGACAAGGCTTTTTTTTCAGAAGTCCTAACCAAACCATCTGTTTTGCATCTGTGGTTTTGCATATGTAAATATTATTATTAATAGTAGCAAAAAGCAATCATAATGGCAGCAGGAATAGAAACACTATTAATAGTCACAGGCCTGACGTTTGTATTTGTATTGCTGCAGGAGGTCACATCGTGCAACAGGACTCAGCTGTGAGCTTGAGCGAGAACAAAAGGGTGGTTGTTACCCCCAGGAGCTGTCAGTGAGCACCGGCACCCTCAGGGCTCTGGTGCCAGGGTTGTCACGGTGGGGCTGTGGTGTCTGAGCATGAGGATTTCCCCCAGACCCTCGCAGAGGGCTTTTCCAAAGGGAAATAGCTCCTCACAACTGCCGGCTCCTTGCAGCTCCTGCTGTTATGGCAAGGAGAAAACCATCCCTAGTGGGGAGAGCTCAGCTCAGTGGCTCAAAAGGACCTGCAGACAACAGGAAAAACTCACCAGTAATTATGTGATTCCAGCTTATCCAGAGACAGAATTTGACTTGGTAGATCCCAGGACAGAGCAGTGATTTCTGCATCGCCCAGTACTGTACCTGAGGTCTCACTCCCAGCCTGAGGTATCTGATCTCCATAAGGACAACAGGCTTTTCTTGGTGGGTGATCTGTCAGAGCAACCCACTCTGCAAACCATCAACGTCCCGATGGTTGGGGAAGACTTTCTCTTTCTGTCCCTGTCATTAAATGTGACACCAACTCTCCTACTAATTCAATCAGCAGAGGGAAGACCTCAGGAGTGGGAAGGCCAGAGGCAGAAGCAGTAGCAAGAAGGCCAGGTAGGGCAGGAAAAACAAGGGTGCAAGCCATAGACACCAAAGAAGGGGAGCTTGGAGGTGCTTGCACTGAAAGAAGCGCTTTAGAGAGATGCAGTGGAAGGAGGAAGCCGCCACTGCATGCTAGGCTTGGGTCTGATCCGCACAGTGCTGGGAAACACAAGCTAAGAAAACACCCTTCTCCTGCCAGGTTCTCCTCGGGTTGAGCTGGTGTCTTTGTTTCTATACGAAGAACGCTTTTTGTTCAGCTCTGGTTGTTGTGCTGGATCTGTAGTGCATTAAACAGCCCATCTTCTGGTTTGTATTTTTTCCAGTTATCGTATTTCATGTATCCTGGCTCCTTTCATCCAGCCCCGTATCCCCCCGAGCAGAGACTAAGCAGGATCCAGCCCTTGAGCTTGCTGCCTTCATGCGCACAAGCAGGCCATGGATCCCCATCCCACGTTTCTCTGCTGGGAGCATCTGCAGCAGGGACTGACAGCACCTTTTGGTTTTTGTCTGTTACCTAGGTCATGTTACCAGAGCTGGAGCGTGAGGACCCAGTGATGATACATGCTGCCCCTCAAACTCTGCATTGCTTGTGTTCAAGCTTGTTTCTGCAGCCCATCTGGACCAACAGTAGCAAGCCAAGGTCTCTACTTATTTCTTACATCATTCAGATTTTGACTACAGCACACTACAGGAGCGCATGTAAGAGAGGGGGGTGAATTGTCAGTCCTATTCAAGTCAACCCTACCAGTGCACCGTAACTTCACTTCAAATATCCTGCAATTCAGTGCACAGTGTCCCTGCCCCTACCACTTCCCAGCCCATCCCTGTGCAGGTCTGCATTTTGGGACAGGTAAAATGCTTCTCTGTTTGTCTTGGAAATCTTCGTAGACAGGCATTTAAAACAAGGAAAAATCCTTATCAGGTTAAAAAAGGATAAATAACTTTCTTCCTGCTCTGGTATTGACCCCATAGTACAGAGCCCAGGGCAGTGGCTTTTGCAGTTATTTCCTTTGCAGCGGGGAAAGGAGGACCTTGGGGACACTAGGAGGTGAATAGGGCTGCCAGGTGGCATCCAAGAGGGACCCTGCAGGGAAGGGGCAGTAGAGGACCCAGGTGGGTCCGCAGAGGGCCCCGAAATGGGTACCCAACCTGCTCTGAGCTGACCAATAATGAGGGCTGGCCCCTCAGTGTCCTCCCTGTCCTCTGACTGAAAGAGCTGGAAAACAGATAACAGGATAAGGATCATCTACACGCTTGTGTTGTGCACTGCTCCACTTGCTATATGCCAGTCTTCCTGCTAAAAACAGTTGCCTTGGGCACAAACACAACCTTGAGGAAATCCAGGCTTTGAGCCTCTCCTGTATTAGCTTCTGGTTGCTTCCCTGCTGCCTTCTGATGTGATAGCTGCTTTAAAGTGTGGTTCTCCTTTCGCAGGCAAAGCCTGAGAGCAGGTTTCCATTTGAGCAGGTTGATTTACACATTCCCCAGCTCAGAGCCCTGTTTCACAAGTCATCGAGTGCATTGGTCTTCACACCCACCATAAGACTCTTGCTGTGTGTGCCTGAGGAAGGAGCACAGCCCAGAACTGCTTTGCTCAACCCCGTGCAATCCCCCCCATCCCGGCTGTGCTCCTCTCACAGCCACTTCCCTTAGGAAGCAGTGCCCTTGTCCCCAGCCCAAATCCTCCTGAAGGCTTGCCCATTTTCCAAGTGCTTCTCAGTTAATCTTTCCCTACCCACTTAGAGCAGCAAGTGGTGCCTGTGGGTGGGCTGGGGCTGGTGGGGCTCTACTGACCGGCAGAGATTATCCAGCAGCAATTTGGGGCAGGGGGGAGCAGGGAAGCCACTGCCTAATCCATCCCAGGCTGGATGGGTGCCTGGATCATTTCAGCGCTGCTCGGGGCTTTCAGACGATGCTCATGCTCTGCAGTGAGCCCACCTCCTCGGAAAGCTCATGGCACAGGCATCTGTCACCGAAACCTGTCTGCATGAAAGGCTGTCTGCACAACCGGGGGGAAAAAGAAAGGCATGACAGCACAATTAGTGAGAGCAAATGAAAGGCTGTTTGAAGAGGAGGAGGGAGGAAAGGGGAGAGCTGCATAAATCCCTGGTGGGGTTTTGGGCTTGACATCAAACCCCCTTAACAGTGTATTACTTCAGCCCCCAATGTGGACAGATGTTGAGCTGTGGCTCAAAGGAAGTCAGAAATCTTTCCTTAGAAAAAATTTGGCTAGGAAACTAAAGAAAATATTGTGAAAGAAAAGGAAATAAAAGCCCACTAAAGAAGATTTATCACTGCCTCAAGCATTTCTGTATCCTCTAGTCTTATGAGGTCTTGGCCTCAGGGGAGAGAGAAAGAGAAACAGCCTGTTGCTGTGTTAATGGGTCACAAATTCAGAGCAGGGACACGTTTGTCCAGTCAGAGGATGATGGCAGGAGCCAGCTCACCCAACCAAGGACTCCTCCGACCCATGCTAACCCCAGACAGCTTCCAGAGGCCCCTGGCACCAGCCTGCAGCATTCCCTGGCACATCCATCCTTCTGCCCTTTTTGCCCACTCACTTTTGCAAAGTTCTTAAGAAGTCCATTGTCAGTGGCAAAACATTTTCATTCCCAAAAGAGCTTAGTACCACTCACAAACCTGGAGATTCTGCTGCCCACTCCCTTTCCAATGCTACAAATGAAGGTGCTGGATAAAACCAAACCCAGCAGAGATTCTTGGGCAACCCTATTGCTGAAGCTCATTTATCCTTAAACCCTGCCTGTCAAACCTTGCACTTTGCTACCTACAAGACAGGAATATCTTTTACCTGGGTTTCCATCCATGAAAGGACCATTGTTTGAACCCCATGGCAATGTAAACCTTTAATTTTGCCAACATCTCTGTAAGTGTCCTTCTGCTGTCTGTTGGGTTCTTCTGATCCAGGCACATGCCAATACTTTCCTAGCATCCCAGCACACTCACAGTGCAGCTTCTCTTCCTTGGCTCTTTCTCACCTGCCTATCTCTGCTCACTGCTGAGACCCAACCACCCTGGTAGGGAAAGAGGTGACCCCATGCAGCTCCCAGGGTCCCCTTCCAGAGCTTCGTTTGTAGGTGGGAGCTATGCCAGCATCCTGCCAGTCCCCTGCTGCGGTTGCCATTTGTGAAGCCAAATTGATCTAATTCCTTAACTTACAGGCTACAGAGAATGAACTGAGTGTGAGGATCTCCCAGGTACCCGCAGCAATGAAAACCAGTACTCAGTCGTGCCTGAGCTACCTTGCCCCATCCTCCTTGGTACCCCGTTGTACCTTTGTGTTGAGCAATGGCTCCTTAGGCAGCTTCTTGCTTCTGATATATTTAAAGAAACTTCTTTAAAAATCTCTTTACAAGGAGCTCTTCATGCTCTTTTTTAGCTCTTTTAATTCTCTGTCTACACTTTACTTGCTGTGTTTTATGGGGTTTCCTTCTCTCCTCATGTGGGAAACCTTTCCACTTTTAAAACACTGACCTTCTCCCTGTGATACCTCCTTAACCTTAGCAGTGAGTCAGGCAGGGTGTTTTTTAGGACCTCTCAGTTCTCTCTGAGTTGTGGCACATGTTTTACTTGGGGCTTTAATAGAGCACTTTTTAATCGCCTCCAGACTGCTCGCAGGCTCCTTGCTCCCTGTCTGCTCCTTTTTGGTTTGTTGTTATTGACCGATTGCCTTCTTTTTTCATAGTTCCCTTTCTTGAAACCGTAGAGCCACAGGCTGGATTTATTTGGTGTGCTCTCTCCCACTACAGCACTAAATTGGTTGTTTTGTGGTCGCTAGCAGAGAACAGCTCTCCCACAAACACCTTGTGAAGCAGGTCCTGTGCACCGCTCCCCACCAACCCCAGAGCAGGAGCCCTCCTCACAGCTTCCAGCGCTGCTTGGACCACGAGACTCATTACTGTATCCCAAACCACTCTTTTCCTTCCTGATGGGTCACTGAGCTGACTGGTTTCTCTAATCTGTTTTTGTATCTGCTGGTTGTTTCCTTTAGCCTGCTCAGGGGTCAGTAACACAGTCCTGGCCCTGTATTTTTCCCAATGGAATCTGGGATCTCCCATCTTGGTACTGGGGTTGTCATTCAGGGTGATCAGAAAGCCCGGCATTGTCTTATTTCTTTTAAACTCCTGGTACAGGGGCAGAAGCACCTCTAAGTTTAGCCCTTACCTGATTGTTTAATACTGTTTCTGTGGGTCTTCCAGTACTAAACTCATCTTATTCATTGCAGCTGCATCATTTATTTCCCTGCTGCTCCTACCCTGGATTCTGGCCACATCCTACTCACAAGGGATGCAAGTTTGAATTTCCACACCCATGGACTTTTCCCTCAGCTTTTCATTTAAACATCCCTTTATGGCTTTTCCATCTTCCAGTGTCACTGGCCCAGCTCTGCTGTGATGGAGGTGCAGGACCCTGTGACACCAGCTGGCAGGTTCAGGATGGTCTTCCTGGCAGGGATCCCTTCCTGGGTGCTTCTATGTCTTCATTGCGATGGCTACAAGAGCATAGGTGGGACTCTGCCCTGCAACATCCCAGAGGCACTCCCTGTACCTCCTCTCCCATTGCCTCGTGCTTGCTGCAGGCACAGACACCCCAACATGGTGTGTTCTGTGTGATGAGCTGGGCAGCCCCTTGCAGATTCTTCTTGCTTCATGGGCTGAAGCTGTTGGGTCTGGAAAGTTGCCTTTTGATTTTCTGAAGCAAGCAGGAAAACCAGCCCTCTTATCACAGGCTTGTTAATCCTCCTTGCTGCAAGCCAGCTTCCAGCTTTCTACACCATCACCCCCAGAGCCTGGCAGTGTCAGTACCCCTGTTTGCTTCAGGGCTAACTTGCTCCCCTCAGCACCGCCCCAGCAGCCAGCCAGCCCCTTGACCTAAGCCCCCTGGGAGG